TTTGGTGAGCATGATATAACCCTGGAATACTGAACAACTCCAGATACACTGAAAAAATAAAAGGTTTCTGGGACTTACAGAGCGAAGGACCCAGACTCTGGAATATGGGAGGATCACGAGGGGGTTTTCACTCATGCCCGAGAAGCCAGCCAGCCCCTTGTTAGACTTTCCAAAAAGGGGCCCAAAGAAGCAGACCAGGTCAATCTGCCCTCAGCCCTGTCCAGGATCCGTACACCCGGCCATGTGAGTGTTATCATCTGAATTATATACATACCCACAGTGGTCAAGTCAGAGTCAACTTAAAAAGCAACCTTATGCTCCCCACTCCCCTGACCACACGTCCATCATGCCACTGAGACTTCACCAAATGACCCACTCGGTATAATTTATCTTCCCATATAAATCTGCTGCTGGGCGGGAAATGAACTGCTCAGCTAACGTGCTTTGGTCCACCGCTACAGCTACATTTCCAATTGTATAGTGATACCCCGGCATTCTGATATTTGGTGAGCATGATATAACCCTGGAAAACTGAACAACTTCGGTTACACTGAAAAAATAAAAGTTTTCTGGGACTTACAGAGCAAAGGACCCAGACTCTGGAATATGGGAGGATCATGAGGGGGTTTTCATTCATGCCCGAGAAGCCAGCCAGCCTCTTGAAGGGTGTCTCTATCTTACCTTGCTCTTACCTGCAACACCAGTTGCTCAAGGGAGAAAATATGTAGAATAAAAGATTTTTTTAATTAATAAGCTTTTTTTAAATCCTCACCTGAGAATATGTTTATTGATTTTAGAAAAAGGGAAGAGAGAGAGAGAGAGAGAGAGAGAGAGAGAGAGAGAGAGAGAGAACAATTGGTTGTACAGGGCGAAACTCCAACAAAATGAGCCATCCAGCTGGGGCAATAAGCTTTTTTTTTTTTAAGCAGTTTTAGGTTCACAGCAGAAGTGAGCATAAAGTACAGATGTTTCCATACACCCCCTACCGCCTTATATGCATCATTCATCCACCCCCACCCCCGATTATCAACATCCCTCATCATAGTGGCACACTGTTACAATCAATAAATCTATACTGATACGTTATCACCTAGGGTTCACAGTTTAGGTTAGGGTTCACTCCTGATGGTGTACATTCTGTAGATTTGAACAAATAATGACATGAATCCACTATTGTAATCTCATCCAAAATAGTTTCACTGCCCTAAAAATCCTGTGTTCTGCCTATTCAGCTCAGATTTCTTGTTACCACGGTGTTTATTCAGCTTTCTCTTCAAGAGAGTGGTATCTCACAACCAACCACTTGGTGGCACCAAAGTAGAAGTTAAATTTTAAGTTCTGGCTTGGAGGCCTCTAAAAAGGCAGTTTTCACCGCTGAGGAAATAGAAGCCATCTTTATGATCCTATGATACAGGAATATATATCAACCAGTTTATACATGAAAGCAGGAAAGATACTTCTATTTGCCCACAGGGGGTTGGGGAGGGGGAGGGAGTAAGTTCTGTAGTTTTTTTTAATTTTTAAGATTCTCAGTTGGCCTACTTTGGGGATGCTGGCCTGCCTAAGCATGTCTAACCAACCAGGCCAAGCCCTAAATCAGTCACTTCACTTCTCATTAATGCGTCCACATGGGGCCTCTCTAGGGGCTGGACAATCTGAGGGGTGCAGCAGACACTAGGAAGGGGCCTGCAGCAGCTGGACCCACTAGATTCCCCCAGGGCTTCCCACCCCTGGAAGCATGCTGAGTGCCTGCAGCAGGTCACTTGGGGCACAGGACACTCACAGCTGCTCCCGGGCACCAAGAAGCAATCCTGTGTGCTCCCTAGACCTTTTGTGGCAATTATATCTGCTACTCTAGTTATGTAATTTAATTTAAAAGTACATGAGCTGGTAGGTGTGAAACAGAAAGTTACTATTGCTGGGAAAACTAGGTTAACTGCTTCAGAAAAACTCCATAAGAGTGCTTTGCAAAAAAAAAAAAAAAAATTAGGTGTGGGCATGATGACTCTAGGAGATTAGAAAAAAAAAATATCTTTCAACATTCATTTCACATATCTGGTTTTTAAAAAATACCAGAACCCACAGATATACATGAAGGTTGTGATTACATAAGGAGGATAATAGAGCTCCGATTTGTGTCTTCTACTCAAAGAAAGGGTCTTTTATATCATAAGAGTGGTAAAAGAATGTGTAGTTATAGGTCTTAAAATGTTTAGAAACACTTGTTTCATTGTTTATAACACCCCATCTCAACTAGCATTTTC